GCCATGCCTGTGTGGCTCCACTAATTAGGTGCCTGGACCCTGGAGAAGATGTATATGTAAGGTGAGGCGGTGGCCTTGGGGGTAATAGGGGAGAGGTGGGAGGGGGTAGTGGAGTGAGAAGAGGTGGTGGTGGGAATTTGTGACATGCAGGGCTGTGGTGGCCAGAGAAGGAGGTGGCTTTCCCCAGCTCAGGGGCTGCTGGGGGGGGGGGAAGAGAGAGACCCCCCACTCCATCCCAGCCCCAGCTCGGGGCTGCTGCATGCGGGGGAGAGAGGGCACATCCAACACATTATAAAGGTAAGACTACTGATATTAAAATATGAGTTGTGTGCTTTTATTTGTAGAACAAAAATGTTAATTATTATTAAGGTTTTTTTATATAGTGCTTTTTTATACAATAGTTAGCTAACGGTACAAACAACATTTGGAAAGATCATTAAGTGGGCTGCCGAGATCCTCAGCAATTTTCTAGTGGTCCAGGAAAAAAAAAGTTTGAGAATCACTGGTCTAATAGATGCTAAAGATTGCTTCTGTCTTTGCTTATATCTTCCAAAGTTCAATGAAATTTTTTCCCCAAAGAAGCAGAATGACCTCATGTTTTCTTACCTTCCTGTGGACTTTCCATCCCCTTGAAGCTCCATTTACATAGAACTCAGCCATGGGTTTTGGTCCCACTGATACAAAAGATTTTGCTTTAGCTGCTCTGAAAAAAACTCTAGCAGCAGCTTAGATAGAGATCTGCAGGAAAACTGAAAAGGAGGTTTAAAGACATCATGAAAATCACCTCTTTGGATTTGAATAATAATGTTGGTGATAGTATCATAAATGCCTTAGCTTGCATAAAAATGTAGTTAGTTTTAGAATTAGGGCTTTAAATAAGTAATGATCATTTATAGTTAAAAATCCAAAATGGCCACTACAATAATTCTCTATTAGAAAACATCAAAATGGAGGATCACACTAAATTAACCAGTAGCAGATAAGAAACACATGATTCAACTCACTCCAAAATTCCTGAAGGGAGGGGTTAGCAGGTGGAGTAGCTTGAATGACAGGCAAAGTTGATTGGTCAAACAGTTGCTGCCCACACAGGGAGGATCCATGCTAATTACCAAGCCTGAAATAGCAACCAATCAGAAGGCCAGAAACTGAATATAAGGAGACAGCCAGCAGGCTGGTGTGTGTGTGTGTGAGAGAGAGAGCGAGAGCGAGAGAGAGCAAGCACGCACGCGCATTAGGTGAAAATCAGAGAGCGGAGACAGACCAACAGCAGTGAAGGGAGAAGATCAGAAATAGGAGAGCAGTAGACAGATCAGAAGGACCTAGATGGTTCATAGGGATTCAGAAAGATCAAGTGAAAGTTTGATTTTCTGTCTCTTTCTTAAAAGAATGTTTGTAAATAAAGCTGGATATCTGTCTTTGAGTGAGATCCACCTCACCCCATTCTGTGACTGTTCAATCACCACTCTCAGAATGGTAATGTTAAGTTGTAATGTCTCTTTAATGTATGAGTTTCTACATAAATTATTAACTTTATTAATAATAATAATTATTAATTTATGTAGACACTCGTTGCCGAGATCGCTGGAATCCTAGCCACTGCTGATGCCCTGTGTGGATGGGTAAAAGGGAAGTGAGAATAGGATCGGTGGTATAACAGGTAGTGAGGATTGTAGCCAGTGTAAGGATTGGTGCACCAACGCCCTTATCACGAGGCGATTGTAACCACAACCCAATCCCTGCACAGGAAGAATGCTTAGAACTAGGGTAATAGCCCATATTCTGGCCATAATTTAGTTTTATTAAAGGAATTTGTAAGTCTGGAGTGATCAGGGTCATAACCTATGTCTTTGCAACAGTCTATATGTTTTTAAGGAACTTGGGACTCGGGTGTGGCCGGGTTATACCTGAGACCAGTATCTATCAAAGGAAGGAATAAATTAGAATGACAGCAAAAGGGAAACTGAGGCATGATATAATACTTTAGAAATAATGTTGGGAAACACTTAGAAGATTGTTAGACGGGTAGGATGTGGTCCTTGGAAAGAAAAATGCGTTCATTGGACCTGGTGCTTACCAGCAACTGTGAACAATGGGCTCAACCTGAGAAAAAAGGAATTCTCAGGAATTCTTAGTAAAAAGGAGAAAAAGTGAGCTGGTTTGAAAATGGTGGCTGGAGTTTTATGTAAGGAAGTAAATAGTTTAAGGCTGAGCAAACAGCCTTAAACTATTTAGAAAACTAGTTAGAAAAAGAGGAATTAGTAAACTCTCTTAAAACAGAGATAAATGAATGGAAGATGAAAGCAGAAAAACTTACTTAAGGAATAAGAAAGGCTAAAGGGAGAATTGGCTTATTCACAAAAGGAATTAGTTAACTTCCACCTCTACCTTTGAATTGAGAGCTACTGTGATGGCACAAACTGCTCAGATG